GCTGACTCTGCCTATCTAGAGGCAGAGCCAGCTGTACCCGCCCCCTCCCCCGTCTGTTCTGCCAGTCAGCGCTGGAGGATTGGACAGGAGAGGGGGAATCCCTGCAGGGAGTCGTGAGTGACAGTCACCTTTAAAGCTGAACTCTGGTCTGCTTAAAAAATATTAAATATGGCTGGGCCCTCAACGTCATCATGTGCAATGCGGGACCAGTTGTTCTGCATTTCATTGGATGTTGGTTAGAAGGAAGATGATACAGCTGGAAAATAGCAGCAGCTTCCAGGGAGTGGCCTTCAATTACAGAATCAGTGGGGAGAAAGTCTGTACGAGTGTGGAGAAGGCAAATATTCCTTTCTAGGCCCCTAAGCCTAATTAACAAGCATTATAGCATGCATATATACACTGAGTGGCCAGATTATTTTGACCACCCCATCAGCCTACAAACATCAGGTGGTCATAATAATCTGGCCACTCAGTGTAGATGGAAGCACACCCACATTTGATTATTTGTGGCCCCCAGAGTTGCGTTTGCATGTCAACTGGTGTTTTTTTGGACTGCATGCAGCATTTTCCATACCTTTGTGGCACTCTGCTAATTTAAGGTTTTAAAATGTTGTAAGCTGCAATTGTTACTATGATGGTAATTGGCAATGTAACATGATCTTTTTGTTTTACCTTTAATTAAGGTGTGGTGCTGAGCAGAGATACTGTATTTCAGAATGTAATAACTGAAGCTCTTGATCACCTCCATGTTTCAGTGTTGGAATAACCTCCAAAATGATCAGCAACAAAACCTTTGGATCACTCTTGTGCCATTCCCTAAGATGAGAAATCAATTCCACCAACTTATAGATTGAGCTTTATTTGTTTCTAACTTTGACTAAAAAAGATTTGTAACAATCAGTAAAGTATCTTGGTACATCATCATTTGATAACAGGACCTTGTATATGGTATACTGATATACTGTATATTTTGTCCCTGCAAAATATACAGTTTATTAGAAATAATATACAACAGCTAAAGGACAGTGTACAGCGCTATATTGCGTTAAAAGAAGCACTAAACACTACTAACATTTAGACTGGTAATATAAACCCAACACAGTTCATGAAAAATTACACTTTGGGGGGAATTTATCAAAACTGGAGCAGACAAAGTCTGGAGCCGATTTGCATGGCAACCAATGAGCTTCTCTGTCTCATTTTCAAATCTTACCTGAGCAAACTAAAGAGAGATGCTGATTGGTTACCATGGGCAACTGCTCCAGATTATCTGTGCTCCAGGTTTGATAAATCCCCCCCTTTCTGTGAAAAACACCCTTGCCTTCAATATGCATGGTAAGATTACAAAAATAAAAATATAGACACTATGCATTGCTGTTCCTAAACTCTAGCTGTTGGTCAAATTAACTAAAAATACAACATGCCGTCCACTAACTTCTAATTAGGGCAAATGCATTGCTGTCAAAGACAATACATATTGTAATTGCATATGTTTGCTTCACAATATCATATAATTTATATATTAGCAGTACTTCCATCTTCAGAGGCTGCAACACTAGATTAGAATCTATTTTTCAATGAAGTTATTAAGATTGAACTAACTGGAACTATAATTCACAAACAATAAGCATTATCAGCCCAGTTACATATTAGGCTTCCAAAAATTGCCTCTCAAATTTGGGATAAAACTGGTGTCATTTATTTTCGCAGCATTTAACCAGCTCAATTGTATTGTTGGTTGGGGGTCTCTTCTTATGGGAGAAATGCTGCATGACATGATCATCAAAACTCAACGGGTCAGAACCCCTGTTGACATGGGCAGAACCCAAGAGCAAGACCCGAGATTGCTTTTCCTGTAACCTTACATCTGTTATCAGTTAAGCGTTTATTTTTTATTTAATTGTGTGTGTGTATTATTCGCTGGTACTTTACTGAGGTGTAAATTGCATATATAATCAGTTTCCAGGGGGTCATTGCTAATACATTTTTAAAATTAACAGTGTCAGGCAATCGGAGATCTTGCCAAGATCTGATAACCAAATTAAGAGTCTAAATGCCAAGCACAACAAAGACTGAGACAAAAGTGCTCATAGATAACATTTTTGAGACTCTCCCATTTTCCTATTACCAGTAAGTAACGAGGTCAATAGAAAGGTGTGGCAGAACGGAACAGGAAAGGCCAGCCCTCAACATCACAGGGAAGTATCAACATTTGCTTGTGAAGATATTTAAAAGGTATGTGCATGCAGTGCTTGAGTAGGGAGATGTGAAGGGTTGCTGATGTATTTAAATGTATGCTCCCCTTCCATGCCGAAATTCCAAGTTCAGTGTTCGGGTCCAAAATGTAAAATATGTAATAGCTAAGTGGTCAGATTACATGGTAATGGATTCTCTTGCTTATTTTTCCAGGGCTATGACACTGCAAGGTCAGAATTACTTATTTTGTAGACTTATTCAAGAGATAGTTGGGTGCATGTTTGAGAGAAGTGACCGTCTTCGTGACCTTTCATTAAATGGTGCTTTCATGTTTCAAAGACTGTTTATTTGAACTTTGGGTTGAGGATAAGAATGTCAAGTATAACTGTCCTGCGCCTTTAACAGCTGGTCTGTAGAGGGAGATGTTCAGAGGTTTTGTGGTGTATTGCCTATAAAGCACATTACGCTTACTTAATAAAAAGTATATTTATTTTTCTGTGCGAGTCAAAAATGTTCTGCTGAGGTTTTCTAAACTATATATTGCATGCTATGTATCTGTATATGCTGTCCAGGATGGAATTCTATCCAGAAAATGACCCAGAGACAAGAAAAATAATCATTTCCTTCTAATTTTTAGAATGCTGAAAGAATGATGTGCAAGAGCAGAGACATAAAGGTTGTTGTTATTATATCAGCCACGTCATTTTAATGTTTACCAAATTCTCATCACCCCTAGCTCAACTTTCCCATACCCTAGTAAGTTCTCTGAGCTCTCATCTTATCTTTAAAAAGTTGATTTTATAATTAAAGCAGATCTAAAGTCTGAAAGTAAACAAGGAATGGTTCTATGAGTGGCCCACAACTAAGAAACAAAAAATGCAATAGATTGTGTAAGAAATATTACAGTGGGAAGATTAAAAGAAAAAAAGATTTGGGAATTCAATTATTTTATATTTCTGGCCAGTCTGTTGCATATTTCCCTATATTGGTGGCCCAGTCATGTGACTGTGCATTCTTTCACTTGGGTATTCTGATTATGTCCACCTGACAGTTTTTACCCGGCGGATCCGATCAGAAACTTGTTAGTCTATGGGCAGCTGAATCTAAATGGGTGTGCGTCTGTTTACATCTGATTACCCCCAGCTCCAGCCAGGTCCAGAAAAACAAACAGATCAGAGTTCCGTTTTGCTGGACCTGATCATTCTGGATCGGCGGTAATCTGATGTAAACAAACAAGTCCATTTACATCCGATTCCCTATAGTCCAACATGGGTCTGGTAATTTCAGTTTTTGGATGGACACCGGTATCACTGCGGAAAAGAGGAAGAATTTTTGGGGCAGAAAACGACCAGTGATTTTTTTTTTTTTACTTTAATACAGTTGCTGATTGGACAATGACAGATCAGCAACACACTGAAAAGTCAACTCTTTTCTCTCCTCCTGTCAGGACATGTGCATAGAGCAGAATGCAGTTAGCTCCTAATGCTGCCTCTCCCAGTCAGAGTGCAGCAGGAAAGGGTGCTGCAGAAGGTTGATATTAGGATAGAGTCAGGGTACTTATGCAAGCTGTGGTTATGGCCCTGTTTATATCTATGCGATGTGGGAATACGTGTGTTTCTGTATCACTCGAGGTCACGTGGGACACCATTTTCTGCATTGCAGTGTTCTCATTTTTAATGGAACCCCAACACACCTAGCCATTTCATGTGTGATCCATTGTAGCTTATTACCATGGGTTTTGGTGCAACAAATACAAAAATAAAAAAAGGAAGGGGTAAAGTACTTTGTTGCATTTGGATGTGGTAGGCTGGCCATTCAAATTAATGAGCTGCCCTACCTCTATGCACAATAACACATGTAAAAATGCACTGCAACTAATGTGCAATGTCACATCCCACAGGTATTACCCAAGCCTAAAAATGTTTCCAATTATGTTTAACTCTCCTTTTGTTGTACATTTTCCCCACTTCCCTGCCCACTATTTGTTATACTTACCTTCAGCCTCAATCTGTTGATCTTCACAGTGAAGCTCTGAGCCATACAGCCATTTTCCCAAAAATGGCTGCTTCTTATGGTCCATTTGCACCACAACCCCATTCATTTCTATGGGAAAGCCGCACTCCAACTAACCGCTTGAGGCCACCATAAGTATGGCTTTCCAGCAGGAAAGAGTAGGGCACGCATGCGCAGTATTGAGCTGCAAATTTTGTGAGAATGCTGCTTGGAACAAGGCCGCATGTTGAGGATTGCTCGATCAGGGCTAAAGGGAAAGTATTACCCACGTGGGCAGCATTCAGGGGCATTGTGAGGGCTCATGGAAGTACAGGGATTATGGCAGTAGATTAGGATACATACGTGGGACAAATTGATATTCTGAGGACTATGATTTTTACTTTGTGTAACATTGCTACATTTTTAATAAGAGTTTGGCAGTTAATACCAGGCAAATTTGTTCAAATGCACCAAAGCATATCTATGGACCAATCAAACAAGACAGTTTTTAATACATGAAAATGTTATTGTTACTTTTTTTTCCTGATTTTTGGAAACATATTTTAATAATGTTATGTATAGCTTTCATTCTTTGTATGTTTTCATGTTTTTGGAGAGCACACCGAGTGAAGTCACAAAAAAAAAAAAAAAAAAATCAAGAACATACATCTTTTTGTACAGTCATTGTTGATATACACTATGTAATATGGGGGATGGGTAGATAAAAGCCTGACTCCAGGGTAAGGGGAAAGTCAGGTTTTTATTGCTGTATATGTCTCCAAAAAGAAAAGTAAAAGGACAGGAAATCTCTCAAAAAAAAAAAAATACAAAAAAGGTCTCTCTGCAGTTGGGCTTTCAATAAGAAAATCCAGATAATGGTTCATGAAGCTGATTAGATTGTATATTGTCCACAAGTAAAAAAAAAAAAAAACTGTAGTCTTCGCTTCAGTAAAACCCAATTTTCCTGGTTATTGTTATTGATAAATGCGTGGGGGTTCCGTTAACAATATTCCACCTTCGATCATTGCTTTTCGAAACTGCTGCACCTAGAAAACAAATGCACAAATAAGACATAATTGGAAATGCTGCTTGCCTTAGGACAATACCATTTAATAAAACGCTGGAATAATCATTTACATAATTGCATGCTTAGTATTGCTATCATTTTTTATTGTTACATAGAAGACTGAGAAAATACAACATGCCAAAAGGAGCTAGATGGGACTGAACGTATTAGAGATTGAAAACGAATTATCCGTCTGGAATTTATTTGTTCTTACAAATAAACAATACATGACAAAGGATTTGCAGAGCACCATGGTTTTTCTAAATAGAGCACATTGGGGGCTCCATGATTTCCGCCTCTCTTTGATCAAAAGAAACATATATTTTTTTTAAATGTTATCTTTATTCTTGGCCACACCATATAAAGACATTGAGGCTTATTGACTAAAGGAGTTAAATAGTTATTAAACCCTCTGGTGTTTTTGCATATATTTACTGCTAGCAAGCAGTAGATATATGCAAAAAGCGTAAAAGAACAAACAAAACACTTTAAACTTACCTGTATCTTCCCTGCGCGGTACCGTCCGAAAATGTGAAAATTCTCGGGCGGCCGCAAAGCATCTTGGGGCGGGCGCATGCGCAGTTCACATTTTCGGCCAGGAGACGAGGAGAGACACAAGGTAAGTATATGGACGGTGTGCACCCGCATGCAGACACCGTGGGACAGGAAGTGCCAGCAAAGACAGAGGAGTCAGCGCTGGATCGGAGACCCGCCGCACCGCTGGAGGGACAGATGAAAACGACAGGAAAGAAGAGGCAGATCGGATTAAGAGACATAAATTAAGGTAAGTGCTTTAATTAACATTGGGGGCAGGGAAACATATCTTTGACTTTAATGTCACTTTAAGAACCTTCCACACAAGTTGTGTGAAGATTCACTTATTATCCAATCATGTAAAAAGAAAATTCCCGCTCAAACATATAGAAAACCATTCTACACGCCATTGAAATATATACAAACAAGGCACAGGGGACGTAAATTGAAACAGCTAGAGAACTACAACCAGGCCTGGTCACTGATTTGTACTGTATATCAGAGGACTTTGAACAGCTTGTTCTGAAATGGAAGCAGATTATAGGTAATGGAACGTACTGTTCACACATCAGCTTTTTAATATAGGCCTAGTTTTTCGCGCATTCATATGCGCAGCACAAAAATATGCACATTTTACCATAAGAGCGGTTTCCACACGTTTGCGGCTACTACTATAGCCGGAACACATGGAAGTAGCCCAGAATATTGCGGTTGTACTTTTTTGCACAATGCGCGTTTTCATGCCTCGTTGGTATGAACAAGTTACATTAAAAATGTATGGGCTTTTGTGTTTTGCACGTTTCCGTTAAAACCGCTGATGTGTGAACTGAGATGTCCAATCCATTTTATCTTTCCTTTGAACAACAAACTGGTTTCAAATCCATAAAAAATTTTTTTTTGCAGTGTGCAGTGCACAGCCCACTGCATTGTGACCCAAATGGGACACATAGAAAACAATTGTATTGCAATTGTCTCTGCGGTGACTTGGTGCGGTACAACAGAGGTCACCACTATATGTGTGAATGGACCGCTACAGTTCAGGAATATAGCTCGATTATTGCGAGTGATAGAAAATATTCCAGCACTGCATGTGATGAGGGTAGGATTTAGAACTAGATGGCAATAAGTGTTTCTGAGTTTGAAGTGTTTTTGCACAAAGCAATTGAAAAGGTTTTGAAGATCTCTGTGGAAGTAGATGCAAAAGGTTTCCTTTTCTGCAGAGGAAAAACAAGGAAAGAAAGATTCCTGCAGGTGAAAGAAACGGAAGCTTTTAGCATCAGTTGAATTGGGTCATACCAAGTACCAGTGGACTAGCAATGCAAGGAGTGAGGGGGAGGGGGTGGCTGGACAAGGCACTTGGCTAACCAGGTTGTGTTCTTGGACAAACATCATCCAGTCAAACAACAATCTCATTTTGGACTACCGATCATCTTTAAAAGGAGAACTATGGGGTCAGTGTTTTTCCCCATAGTTCTCCTTAGGGTAACGGGAGGACACAAACTAGCGTCCTCCCGTTACCCTAAGCTCAGTATACCGCGAGCTACAGCTCGCGGTATACTGAGACGCCACAGCCGGAGCGGATCCCGACTTGGAAGACGGGATCCGCCCAGCTGCGTGAGTGACAGCTGGCTCTGCCTATCTAGAGGCAGAGCCACCTGTACCCGCCCCCTCCCCCGTCCGTTCCGCCAGTCAGCGCTGGCAGATCGGAGAGGGGAATCCAGCCCCTCCCCCTGTCATGGCAGAGAGCCGTGGCAGGATCGAGAGGCGAGCGAACGCGGTATGTGTTCGCTCACCTCCGGATCTACTGAGCCGACCTGTGACAGTCTCATTGTCACAGGTCGGCTAGAACTATGAGGTAAGTGAAAAGCACTCACCTCATAGTTCTCCTTTAACAAAATTCAGATTCAACTGCTGATCCCGCACATCCCTCCCACAATTACCTAATCAGCTGGCAACAGTCATAGGCAATGGAAGTGCTTTCAGAATGACCAAACTGTTTAGATATCCTTCATCAGCAGCACAAACTAAGCCAGACAGACTGATGAATACATTTATGAACTGCTACTCTTTACTTCCAAGACAAATAAGGATGCTTTTAAGCTCAATCAGAGCAAATACAGGGACATACAAGTGTACAGTAACATGATAAAACAATAAGGGCACTCCTGTGTCTATATTGACATGGCAATATGCTCCGCTTGTTTTTGCATCCAAAGCAAACAAAAACTGAGTGATAACCTCAGAAGTTTACATGCGAGCACCCATGAGATTAATGAGGCTCATTATTCCATATAAAATGCATACACACTACTATAGCTTAGCCTGTCAATTTAATAAACTTTTGCAATAATGATCTATGGTCATCATTCATGTCAAGTGTTCCCATTTTCTCAGGAAAAACAAAAGCTGCAGACAAAGAGCTCAATTACAGAATGTTTCTTCAGTTAAATAAAGCATTATGTTTTCAAAAAGAAAAAAAAAACTAATTGCAGCATTCTGTACACAGAACAAAAGCATTAGGCTTCATATATGAATATACGCCCATCAGCCATAACATTATAACCTCTAAAAGGCAAGTGAATAACACTGTTTACCTCGTTACTACGGCACCTGGAAGTGGGTGGGATATATTAGGCAGCAAGTGAACATTTTGTCCCCGAGGTTGATGTGTTACAAGCAGAAAAAATGGGCAAGCTTGTGAATTTGACAAGCACCAAATTATGATGGCTCAGAGCAACTCCGTAACTGCAAATTTTGTATTATGTGCCCTTTTGTCTAGAACTGGATTTATGGGAAGTTTCATTTTGCCAGAAATCTTGTGAGCCGACAACGTTCTATGCTCTCCGGCTGTGCACAAGGAGGGGTTATGAAGATGAGGGGAAATGAAGTGGGCAGGGCTGACACCATGTGCTTTGGAATTCAGACCCTAAAATACAATGGGGGGAATTTATCAAAACTGGAGCCAACAAAATCTGGAGCAACTGTGCGGAGCAACCAATCAGCTTCTCTCTTCAGTTTGGACAGTTAAGATTTGAAAATGAAAGAGAGACGCCGATTGGATGCCATGCACACCTGCTCAATATTTTGTCTGCTCCAGTTTTCATAAATTCCCCTCACAGTGTTGACAGGTCAAAGAGGAAAAAAAAGGAGCTCACTAGATTTGACACGTCAACAGTTATTTTTCTTTACTTGCAGCATGTTTAAAGGAATAAAACATGGGGAAATGTGCCTGCACTGTACTGCAAAGGTGTTAGCTTGACATTTCCTTTTAGAATGCCAACAGAGCAGCCAGGTAACATGCAGATCAGGGACTCCGTGTACCTTAACTTTACAAGATGGAGGCAGAAAAGGCATCAGGGGCATTACCTTAAAGGCCAAGTTCACATTTCTGACCATGTTTCATGTTACATCCCTATTTAAAATGAAACATGATCAGACTTTGCATCAGTAGGATTGCATGGACACAATACACAGGTATACATGTGTTAACGCAAGGACCAGCATTTACATGCAGGAGTCTAAGTTCCTGAACATTAAGCCTCTGCATTTGGGAACGTGGGCCCATACATGTGCAAACACAAGTACTGGTGTCAAAACACAAGAACAGGCACATGTGTAAATGCCAGCTTATTGCGTCTATGCACATGTAAATGCCTGTTTTTTGTGTCCATACAATCCTATGGACACAAATATGCAATGCATAGATGTGTGATGTGGTGCACTGCTTACCAAACAGCGCGTTGACAACTTTTTCAATAATCGATTATAATCAATTATGTCGATTAGTTGTTGCAGCCCTATCACAAATACAAACTTATTTTTTACTGTATGTCCGTACATTTGTATCTGCATTCGTTGGAATAAGCCCTAAATGGCCGTCGGAGTGTCAGACAAAAAACATGTTATCTTAATTTTAGAGTTAAAAAGCAGAATGCCAGGAAATATCAAGGAGGAAAGGAAGAAAACTTTACACTAGCCATAGATTATGAGGTCATGTTTTTTAAGAAATTTAACCCCTTCATGACTGAGGCCTTTTTTTCATTTTTTTGTACCCATGTTATATTCCACATTTTAGGCCGGAAAATTGCTTAAAACCCCCCAACATTATATATTTTCTGAATGCCAAGACCCTATAGAATAAAATGGTTAAAAAAATTGACAAAGCTGTCACAAATTGGTAACATATGGGTAAACAAGAAGTAACAAGTGTCTAAAAGAAAGAAAAATAGGTTGCACAGGCAAAACTCAGAGACCAAACAGCAGAGAATGTGTTGCAAGAATACGACACTGTTGTGCAATTTGTTGTATTTTATGCTACAGTCACCAAGAAAGCTATCCATTTGTGACATCACTTCTACATAAAAATTTACTCCAGCTTGCAGAATTAGGTGAACATTTTTCTTACCGATTCACTGCGAAATACCCAAGGAATCTCCCGAAAGAGCATATAATGTATTCCTGCTTCCAGGCAGCGCTGAGCCATAACTCTGCCTACATTCTCACATGCCGTGGCACCTACTGTGCTATAGAGATGTTTCTTCACTCCCCATTCCTTGGTAGAGGCAGAGAGCACAATATTGCCATTCGTGTGCTCCACCAATGCGGTAACATGGTATCCACTGCGTTCCAAACGTAACCTTAAAAACACCAAGGGGAAAAATTTGGGATATCATGGAAAAATAGAGCAGCTGTCCAAAGCAAGTAATAATCTGCTTTCCTTTTCTATTTCATTATCAATTTTGTATGAATTCCATTCTTTAGACCACAGTTCAAAATATAACACCAACTGGTTTTCTTTTATATTGTTAATAAATTATCTTTAAAGCATCTCACCACTTCAGAGATATCTTTGGATTTTTAAAAATGGAGCCTGAGAGCCCATTGTTTACATTGATAAAGCGGAAGTTAGGTGGTTAAAAAAAAAAAAAAGAAAAACCCCCAAAACTCTTCAAAAATAATTCCTACTTAAAGTGACATTAAACCCTCAGATTTTTTTACATAAACCAATACTGTAATGTGTGCCTTACTGTAATCCATGGTAGTTTCCCTTCTCTTTGCTGCTCTTCCTTTTAAATCTGTATCTGTTCTCATGCTTGGGGAGAACTTCTGTTTTGCAGCAGACTGCCTTGTCTCTGAAATGGATACATGGTGTCTGTGTGAAGGTTCACAACCTGAGCCAGCACTACAGGAAGAGGCCCTCAGCTGCAAAGGGAAGTTCTCCACAAGCATGAGAAGACATGAGGATTTAAAAGGAAGAGCAGCAAAGAGAAGGGAAACTACCATGGATTACAGTAAGGCACACATTACTGTATTGGTTTATGTTAAAAAAGTAATGTCACTTTAAGTGCAAATAGGGAGTAATAGAGTCCAAATAATACTCCCCTACTGAGAATTGCTATCCTGTAAGTGATTTACCCAATACAGCATCTAGTTTCCTAATGTTGTTCTTGAGCAACCAAACAGCTTAAAGATGATCTTGTGCACTGCAGTTTATACAGACAAAATGACAACTGCAATTAGCAACACACGCCACTAATTAGCGCCCACATCTGAATGCACCTCGCTATCCCCAGGTAAGGTCAGGGAACGGCAATAGAGTTTATAGAGTTTAGGGTGCTGCATAGGACATGCCTATTACTTATTTGGCCATCTGCTGGCACTACAGAAATTACACTTTTGGTCACTCAAATTTTTTTGCGCAGATAATACAAGATTATATTTCAAACATTCAATGTACTGATTCTTGACTGACCCCCTCCTTTATAATTATTAAGAGCTAACCAAGAAAAGATTACATTAAACAATCCAATATCCCGTGTTGCAAGAGGTGGCCCAGAGACTGGTTAGCCACCTGCACAGGAACAAGAGAACAATACTGGTTTTCAGATCTGACATAGGGTGGTTAAATATAATCTGCTCATATAATTGTTCCTAAAGACAGATGCCCTCCACCTCCGCATCGCATTGCGGCCGGTTCACTTTTTTGCGGGGCAGGAGGGGGTGGCGTGCCATTTAAGCGAATGGCACCGTAGCCACGCCCTCCAGTCACAATGCGATAGTCCACACGGGATCGCAAGGCACATCGTGTCTGTGGTCCGGTCTGATCAAAATGCTGCAAGCACCATTTTGCGGGCATTGCGGCCGGAGGGCATGGCTATGATGCCATTCACTTCAAGGGCCTGCCACGCCCCCTCCTGTCCCTCCACAAAGTGAGCCGGCCGCAATGCGATGAAGTGCGTTCTGCCTGAATCGGGCCAGAACGCACTGCAACTGGTGTGAACTGGCCCTTAAAGATAGGTGGGTTTGAGAGAGGCATATTTACCTGGTTAATGTAACCAGGTATATCTGCTAGTCTAAAGTTGCATATTAATAAATATGTGATCTACAAGTTAAGAGACTACGTTTAATTCATGCAGTTTAACCCCCTCTACGTTGTATACAGTTTACTGAACCTCATTTGCCATGCGGCTGCCGAGTCATTTGGTGCCTCTTGGAAATTTAATCTCTAGACGTCTAAAGCTGGCTATACACTTAAACACTCAATTCCCCCATCCACAATAAACATTGTGGATAGGGGAATCTCCCCTGCCGGCTATTGTATTCCGACAGTGACAAGTGTGCTACTGTCAGAATACACAAACACTGACTGCAGTCACTGTTCGACTGGCAATTTTCACTCTGGCTCCATCGATAAAAGTAGATTGAAATATAGACTTTTGTCGAATTGAAGGAAGCCAACACTGCCACAACCTGCTCAAAATGCAAGTAGCGTGCATCACCAGCAAACACAAAGCAGTACATTAAGGCAAGTCATAAAAAAAAAAAATGCCAATCAGGAATAACTGCATAAGAATGTAAATCCTTACTTTCACCGAGCCGCCAAAATGCCCAATCATTGTACACCTAATCAACCTAAACTGAGCATATGGTGAACAACTGCATAGGCAGATGTTGTCTTCAGTGAAAACTAGTGATGCACCGATACCGTTTTTTCTGTATTGAACACCAATATTTTGCTTTCAGTGCTCACCGATACTGAGTACTGATACCGATACTTCCGCTGGCATGGAGCTGGCTTCCCGGGCAATCAGGAAGCCGGGAGGTGGTCATTACTCACCACCCGGCTTCCTGATCGCCCGGGAAGCCGGTTCCATGTTCCCCTACGGCACTGCCGGGCAGAGGAAAATTTTCCTCTGACCGGAAGTTCTGGTATCGGGGAAGGTATCGGAGCATTTGGGCGAGTACAAATAGTCGGTTTCGGTATCAGTGCATCCCTAGTGAAAACCACATAGTAAAATAACAAGCAGAGACACAGGCAGGAATACAGTATATGCACACTTTCAAGTATTCTTGCTGGTGCCTTAATGTGATGGGGACAATTTAGTTCAGAATGGGGTCTGGAAAAAAAAAAAAAAAAAAACAGATTTGCAAATGGTTTCAGCTACGTATCTTTCCACATCTACCAGCCATTTTCACTATGCTTATGTAGTTTATCATCATATACTCAGTTTGAGTTGCGTTGATTTTTCTAAAAGGTTTGGTTTATATTACACAGTCAATGGAATTCAAAAAAATGTTGTTGAGATGCATAAGGAAAGTGTCTCAGGGTTACAGGAATAGTGTCGCTATTTGCACCAAATTCATGTACAAGTCTGCATAGTATTCATGATTTTGAAGCAAACCTATAAAACTGGTGCTGATTTGCGAGACAAACTGGGACAGATGTACAGTATGCACACGGATTATGTACAATATGTACGTATGACAGACTAGATACGCCAAAAAGTACTTGGTCTTATCTTGCATTTCTTTTCTTATTACCAAACTGTCGGAGTTTATTTATTGAATAGCGCCAGAATGAAATACGGCACAAAAAACTATTTGAATTTGGCGCAGGTTTCTGTAGTGGTCCAGTAAATGGCACAGCATGTTTTAGAATTTGCCGCAGTCATTTCTTAGGCTGCATTAGCGCCAGAATTCCAATGACCTTAATAGTGCACCATGAAACCATGCTGACTAGTAGTTATTTTCTATAGGTTCATCCATTGGCCATTTTCAAAGTGTCTAAATATCAGAAAAATAGTACAGGAGCGTAACAGTGTCTGTATGACAGTCAGCATTTTCAGAAGGGGGTAGATAATGCAGACCTGCGGGGGTTGTCCCCATATCAAAAAGTATGTCAGTATTCTGGCAAAGATACAGCTCCTGTACTCTGAACTTCACTGGATGTCACATTCACCAAGCACAAAGTTGCGGCATTTTAAATTCAGCAAGTGTGAATGTTAAACGTTTACCTGGCAAATCTGGTTTACAAACTTTCACTAGTGATTACTTATTAATATGCCCCTCTGCCTGAAAATGATGGTCAGTATGCAATACTAGAGGACTGCAGTGCACCCGAGAATGCATATATGAATACTACGTGCCTCCAATGCCCTGATAAGGAGAGTAACTCCTGCTATTGAGACCATTAGCAGACCATTCTACTGCCTGTTTGTTCTATCAGCACAAACATGGTTTAGAAAGAATTCCCGAGGAAAGAAAAAGTAAATATCTCCTATGAAGGCCCTACTTAAGCAAGGTGGGCCTCTGATGGAGGCACTTGTCACTTCACAGGTAAAGGGGCTCATTCAATCAGACACAACGGTCCATGTATTGTAAAAACTGGTCTTATCTCTATACCCCGGAGCCACAGCAGTTGTGTACAGCCCCTCTATAAATGTCAATGACTGCAGCTGGAACGTGCTGTGTGAATTGTCTTTGCTACCAATATAAATAAAATACTGTTCCCTTGTATGATACATTATTTACTATATAGAATGAATATTTGGTAGGGTCTGAGGTTTTTACCTATGCCAGTATGCCCTGGTTGGCCACACCGTTCCCCAGCCACGATCTTTAACTGCAAGTGACAGACTCTCCAAGTTACGAGGGTTCCGATTGGTGAATTCCGGGTTTACAATTTCATTTTCATGCGTGTCCACCTCAATTGCTGGCGTGACCTGAACGCTGGCAGCACTGCTGGCCGGACGGATAGCTGAAACAAAATGAATAAATAATTAGATTCCCAGTAATATTTCAGGGCTGAACAACCAGTGTACATGTTTGCTTGAACATGGAAAAGAACACAGGTGATCATTTTAAAGTTTTAGGGTTCAAGGTCCTAACAGTGACGAAGAAACGTCAATGACTGAAGACAGATATCATATGAAGTGTTGGTCCCCATTTGTAGGTGTCCAGCCTGCCAGCTGGAAGGTAACAATAGTAAGGCTGCAACCAACTAATCAATTATAAATCCATAATGAGAATAGTTGTCAACGATTCTCATTATCGATTAGTTGGTTGGATCCCCTAGTTCTCTCCTCTGTGCTGGGAGCTGGTGTTTTATCAGCTATTAACATGCTCTCAGTAGGGATCGGAGGGGACACAGACCCCTGCAACCAGTGCCCAGTGGTAAGGAGAGAGCTTCAGTTTCTCCTTCAGGTCCGCTCCCCTGCTGATTGACTGGGAGTAGTTATGCAAATATCAGAATGCCTTGATGGGTGGATGTCAGTCTGTTGGAGGATAAGGTGTATCCAGGCTGTATTTGCATGCAGATCACCATAGGTAAAGCCCCCATTTGGAGCTGGACTTTCGTGATGAACAGAAATGTAATATAATGAATGGAAGGGCCAGGGACAGTAAGGCCGGGGAGGAAAGTACTAGATGATGATGGGTGTCCTATCTGACTTGCTGTAGCTTCTAATGCACACTGTTAGAAGCTCACAGTGTGAAGTGAAATCAGAGTAAGCAGATACAGGTCGACAGTACAGAGGAGGAGGAGCCAGTACATCTGTGCAAGAGGGAAGGCTGGAGTTCAGCTTTGAAGTAGATTAGTCCCTAGCTAGATGACGTTTCATTTAATAAAGTGCACCAGACATTTGCCAGGTTTCCTCTTTTAGAAAGTACACCTTTTTTTGCATCTCAGTGCTGCTGGTCTCCTCCGGCCTACATGCACTGGCTGCAAGTCGTTGCTGAGGGTGTGTTTCCTGATGGTGACATGAGCAGTGAGCAATGCCATGGTTGCTTGAAGTCTCCATGGGAGACGCGTGACAATGCAGGAACAAAACTGAGAGACAAAGTCCTGCACACACGGTTCAATCCTCCACAGCAGCCGGTCAATTCACAAAACCTTAGTCCCCCCCAGTTCACACACGGGTGTACCGTGAATGTGTGTCATGTTCACAGACATTTTTTTCCCCTCATTTGCTGCACGTCGTCACCTGCTGATTTCAATGGGTGCCAAGTGCGACAAACACAGGAATGTGTAGCTCGTGCAGCATTTTCAGCTGCCAGCCAGCCTGCATCCCCCCCCCCCGCCCCCCCGCTGTCGCTGCTCTTTCACCAAGCACAAAGTTGCGGCATTTTAAATTCAGCAAGTGTGAATGTTAAACGTTTACCTGGCAAATCTGGTTTACAAACTTTCACTAGTGATTACTTATTAATATGCCCCTCTGCCTGAAAATGATGGTCAGTATGCAATACTAGAGGACTGCAGTGCACCCGAGAATGCATATATGAATACTACGTGCCTCCAATGCCCTGATAAGGAGAGTAACTCCTGCTATTGAGACCATTAGCAGACCATTCTACTGCCTGTTTGTTCTATCAGCACAAACATGGTTTAGAAAGAATTCCCGAGGAAAGAAAAAGTAAATATCTCCTATGAAGGCCCTACTTAAGCAAGGTGGGCCTCTGATGGAGGCACTTGTCACTTCACAGGTAAAGGGGCTCATTCAATCAGACACAACGGTCCATGTATTGTAAAAACTGGTCTTATCTCTATACCCCGGAGCCACAGCAGTTGTGTACAGCCCCTCTATAAATGTCAATGACTGCAGCTGGAACGTGCTGTGTGAATTGTCTTTGCTACCAATATAAATAAAATACTGTTCCCTTGTATGATACATTATTTACTATATAGAATGAATATTTGGTAGGGTCTGAGGTTTTTACCTATGCCAGTATGCCCTGGTTGGCCACACCGTTCCCCAGCCACGATCTTTAACTGCAAGTGACAGACTCTCCAAGTTACGAGGGTTCCGATTGGTGAATTCCGGGTTTACAATTTCATTTTCATGCGTGTCCACCTCAATTGCTGGCGTGACCTGAACGCTGGCAGCACTGCTGGCCGGACGGATAGCTGAAACAAAATGAATAAATAATTAGATTCCCAGTAATATTTCAGGGCTGAACAACCAGTGTACATGTTTGCTTGAACATGGAAAAGAACACAGGTGATCATTTTAAAGTTTTAGGGTTCAAGGTCCTAACAGTGACGAAGAAACGTCAATGACTGAAGACAGATATCATATGAAGTGTTGGTCCCCATTTGTAGGTGTCCAGCCTGCCAGCTGGAAGGTAACAATAGTAAGGCTGCAACCAACTAATCAATTATAAATCCATAATGAGAATAGTTGTCAACGATTCTCATTATCGATTAGTTGGTTGGATCCCCTAGTTCTCTCCTCTGTGCTGGGAGCTGGTGTTTTATCAGCTATTAACATGCTCTCAGTAGGGATCGGAGGGGACACAGACCCCTGCAACCAGTGCCCAGTGGTAAGGAGAGAGCTTCAGTTTCTCCTTCAGGTCCGCTCCCCTGCTGATTGACTGGGAGTAGTTATGCAAATATCAGAATGCCTTGATGGGTGGATGTCAGTCTGTTGGAGGATAAGGTGTATCCAGGCTGTATTTGCATGCAGATCACCATAGGTAAAGCCCCCATTTGGAGCTGGACTTTCGTGATGAACAGAAATGTAATATAATGAATGGAAGGGCCAGGGACAGTAAGGCCGGGGAGGAAAGTACTAGATGATGATGGGTGTCCTATCTGACTTGCTGTAGCTTCTAATGCACACTGTTAGAAGCTCACAGTGTGAAGTGAAATCAGAGTAAGCAGATACAGGTCGACAGTACAGAGGAGGAGGAGCCAGTACATCTGTGCAAGAGGCAAGGCTGGAGTTCAGCTTTGAAGTAGATTAGTCCCTAGCTAGATGACGTTTCATTTAATAAAGTGCACCAGACATTTGCCAGGTTTCCTCTTTTAGAAAGTACACCTTTTTTTGCATCTCAGTGCTGCTGGTCTCCTCCGGCCTACATGCACTGGCTGCAAGTCGTTGCTGAGGGTGTGTTTCCTGATGGTGACATGAGCAGTGAGCAATGCCATGGTTGCTTGAAGTCTCCATGGGAGACGCGTGACAATGCAGGAACAAAACTGAGAGACAAAGTCCTGCACACACGGTTCAATCCTCCACAGCAGCCGGTCAATTCACAAAACCTTAGTCCCCCCCAGTTCACACACGGGTGTACCGTGAATGTGTGTCATGTTCACAGACATTTTTTTCCCCTCATTTGCTGCACGTCGTCACCTGCTGATTTCAATGGGTGCCAAGTGCGACAAACACAGGAATGTGTAGCTCGTGC